ATATTTGGACAGTGTCTAGCTTAGTAATAATCATAAGATAGGAAGGTTTTATGGCGTTTGCTTACTAAAAATTAAACGGAAGTAAAATTGACATGAAGACTGAACACTGAAAAAAAAGTAGCTTGGATCAAGCATGAAAATTCTTGAATTTGCCGCCAAGAATTTTTTTTATCTTGCTTTGAGCTGACTTTTTCTTGATCCAAGAAAAATAATGCTTGGGTTAAGCAAAAAAGTAGCGTACATTAACCAGCGAAATTCTTGATTTAAGAAAAAATACTTCTTGGCGGCAAATTTAAGATTCTTTTTTTTTCAGTGGTGGGGAGTACGGAGTTTACGTGCATTGTTATTTCGCCTTCAATTTTAGAGTTAGGCCAGATAGCATACTCCGTTAAGCAATACTTAAGGATTTGCGTATTGCGTTGGGAACGAATCATACCTCGCAGTTAAATTCTCATCCGCGCGGGTCTACTACTGGATAATTAAATCCAAATTTTTGGGCTGCTTTTCATCTATGAAGAATTTGATGACGATTTAACAACTGACCCGCTGACGGTTCAATCTTCAGCTCTACTTTTATATTAAAATCTCAATGATTGATGATAATTATGGAATAAAAAAAATGTAGTAACTCAATCTCAAATTTCTACGGGAAACATAGCGCCTCTCTAGCACATATCGACTGTGTAAGTCTGCAATCACATAACTTGGTTTGCGACGTCGCAGACTTCTTGTCATACTTTTTTTTTATGCGGAAAACTACTCAGCGGCAATTCTTTAAAACTGACGCGTGATTTTTCTTCTCTGTGCGAAGAAAATTCTGTTGACTTCAAGAAATGACGTCAGTTTGTTCTCTTTTCAAAAAATAACATACAGGTGGAGGTTTTCAGACACCGCAAACGAGTTATGTGATTGCCGACTTACACCGTCGATATGCATAAAACTCCATTACTGAACTTGCGATTTGGCTTTCATATCCATACACCACGCCTTTAAATCCACCGAAGGTTTTTAAGATTCGGAAAACTCAATTTCGAATTTTAAAGCAAGATATTGATCAAAATGAAATTTTAAGATTTCGGGGAGTGAATTTTTTTTTTATTATTTTTTTTTATTTTATTTTATTTTTCGGGTCAGTGCACCCGACTTTTGAGGCTAGTACCTCTAACTTCTCTCAAAAAAAATAGAATACCTACAAATAATAGAATGAAATAATTCGAGTCGATGTACTAATACTGATATGCATGTTGGTTAAAACTTAAATTTCAGTCTAGAGTTGTCAACCCTGTTCTCAATTTTTAAGCGTTTTCCCGTCAACGTTTCATTCATTTTGCATTTACTTGCGGAGTACTCTAATTTCCATTTCCCTCCTTTAAACATGGTTCATCTTCAATTTTGTGTGTGTCCTTGTTCTCTCAATTCTCGTCTTTTTACGGCCACCTTTATCTCTCCTCCTCTTTTTTACATGAATTTTTATTTGACGACCATTTTACTGACTCCTGTAACTTTTTCATATTTTTCAGATTTTCATCTTCAACCCTCCTCATAAAACTAAGTTTAGTCTGCTCGTTCACTTATCTCATACAGCCCAAACAGGACGATTTGAGTGTTAAGCTCTCCATATTTAAAGTGAAAATAAAATAATGTTCAATAGAAGTTTTCTATCCTCTACTTTAAAGAGTTGTCTGATACGCAATTTTTTCCCCCGGAATTAGTGCCAAATTATGAAATCTTTCTCCGTATTCCCCCGTATTTTTCAAATGCAGTTAATTTTGCTGCTTGCGAGGAACTAATCAGTTTATTTCAATCATATTAGTGGAGTTTTGAGTAAAATAACTTATTTCGAATATTCGGTCGTTGCAGGGCTGGATTTACCTACTTGCCGCCCCCTTCTCATTCGTTTTGAAACATTGATAAAAACCATCAAGTGAACGTGCCGGAGGGGAGGGGTGCATGAGACACGTTTACCTACTCGTGTTGGATACATTTTTTGCGAAAGCCCTATGTCAACACTACTAGCAAAATTTCACGGAACTTTGCGCGAAAGTTAAGTTCCGTAAACCTGTCTGTATGTGGACAAGGTCCTCCATTTATAAGAAATGAACCAAAAAATTATGAAAGAACAAACATAAATGTGGTTTAATAATTTTAACTTCCGCCGCTGCGCCGCGCTGACCGCACTGTGATTGGCGCAATGCGTGAAGTATTCACGCAGTTTTGTAGGCGCCATGCGTTTCACGCCGACCACTGCTGACCGCACTGTGTTATGATGCAGTTCGTGAAGTATTCGTGCAGTCTTGAAGGCGCTATGCGTTTCGCGCTGACCGCACTGTGTTTGGCGCAATGCGTGAAGTATCCCTGCAGTTTTGTAGGCGCTAATATGTGTTACTTGCCAATCGCCGCGCCGCGCCGAGGGCTTGTCTTTTTCATCTCAAGTCCTCGTCATAATTCCTCTCTGCGTTGAGCTCCAAGCCAAATTGCGTGTTTAGTTCCTCTCTTCACTCTACTAATTAAAAATGCTATTTCTTGTATCACCGAAAAACGACAAAATTAGAAATTACCATACTCTCAGGAAAGAGAGATTTCGTCCCCTTTTCACATGGATAATTTTTTTCCGAATCCGATTTTTTTATACCTACATTTAAAAAAATTGCAAAATTTGCCGCCATGGGCCGCGGCCCATGTGACCACCCCCTTAATCCGGCCCTGAGTCGTTACTCCCCTTTTCTGCAACACGAAAGTATTGGTCGTGCACTCAAAGTTAGAGAGGTTCCTTCTTTATAAAGAACAAAGGTAGGAGAGGAGATCCATTCCTTAAATATTATTACCTTTAAGGAACGAAATTACTCGGAGGTCATTGTTTAGCGCTTGGATACAAAGGATGCAACTATTCGTGTCTATCGAAATTATGTATTGCATTTACCCAATAGTTTAACGGCGGACTACGTAGGGAACAGGACTTGCACCAAACTTAAGATACTAATATTGTTTCCGCGCTTTCAACTGCAACACTGCGATTTCATTTTTTAGCCGAAAACTTTTCAACGAAAAAAGTTTTTGCCCGGTGAAAAAAAAAAAATTAAACTTGAAAGTTGCTAGAGCTAACGTTTTACTCAGAGGTATCCGTACATATTCGATTCTACCCCTCTGTTGGAAAAAAAGAAGGTGTTGCTTCCGAATCGCATCCTGAGCTTTGCACGTTTCATGCGCATGTTGATTAAATACAACTTTAAATGTACGGCTTTTACCGCCTTTCATAGCGAACTTTTATTGATCTTCTTGTGTGGGATGAATGAAAAAGTTCTACGCACTTATTCGATGGATGACTCTTTGTTTTATAAATTCATGTTTCATTCTCTCCGTTTTTTTAAACCATCCAGCACTAACATGACATTTATATTTTTGTCTCAATATAATTTAAGCACCTTCAAGTAGATACTTAACACCCTTGTGACATTTGCTTATTCGGTAATTTACCATAACGAGCTGGGCTTCTTGGCCAAGAACCCGGTATTTTACTTGAACCATCAAGCCGGGCTTCTTCAGGCCCTCTTAAAGCGCACTGGAAGTATTATGGGATCAACGATAAATTTCAACACTGCCGTGCTAAGGAAAAACGCCGTATGAACCTTCGGGCGTTGCCAGATTTCCTTTCATAAAACGCGAATTTTCTGGTAACTTTATGAATATTTCCCTTCCAATTTTTCAGATAATTTTGCTCACAATTCCATTGAAAAGCCCTGAAAAATTCAAGGGAAAATACTCGTAACTTTCCTTAAAAATAATAAAAATTTTATCGAAGTAAATTTGGCAACTCTCGAATGTTCATACGGCGTTCTTCCTTAGCAAGGCAGAATAATAGGGCGAAGCGGGCACATGCTCAATATCAGAAATGCTCGTGCCCCTTAAATTGCATCAGGCGAGATTGAAGGAAATTTAACCCTCCTGATTTAAGTTATTTAATGTCACGTTTACGTGCAGTCGGTTCCGTTAGCCCAAAAGAAGAGGTGCGCCAACCAGGTATGGTATAGGCTAATTGCGACATGAAGTAACGTTAGAATAGTCTATTTCGGCCAAAATATAACAAGCGCCGTGCGACGTTTCAAAATTTCCGACATTTCTTTTTTACAGAGACATTCTTTGGCAAAGCTGGTTTAATCTGTCTGGAAACACTGAATTTTCCTGGTGCTACAGATATAATTCAATGAAATTTTCAAACAGATTAAACCGTAAAAATGTCTCCTTAAAAAATAAAAACGCGGCTGAAATTTTGAAACGTCGCATGGCGCTTGTGATACTTAGGCCGGAGGGTGATGCTATGTGCATTCGTATCTGAAACAAGACACACTTAACGAGGCTATTGTAAATTATTTGCAACAGCTGAAAAGATGTAAATTATATGCAATATGACTCAATAATCATACTGAGCGCATTGCCAATTTCTGTAAGTTCTTCCCTTGCAATGTTGAGAAGGTTTGTAATGCCTGGTTTAACACAGGCGATCCACCCGAAAACCCTAGTAAGTCGAAACCAAGCTGGCCTTTATCGATAGAACAAGAGGATAAACCTCTCTTTAAGACTCAAATGAAACCAGAACAACAAGAAACTTCGTCTTATGGCAAGGGTTTACACTTTTTCATATTTTAGATAAATGGTGGTAAAAATTTGAAAACATCTACTCCTTACGCAGGAATCGGGAAAGAAATGTCAAAGCCTAACGGCTAAAAGCACTCCTGCCTTCAAGGAACCGACTCAACTTGGAAATATATCAATTGAAAGGGGCTCCGCGTCGATGCGGCGGCGCAACTATGCAACTATTCGTGCTTGACGGATGTCCGTGTTGCATCTACATAATTGAAGGCACGCTGGCACGAATTGCATTGCTCACGCTTCACTTGCTTCACTTCACGCAGTTCGTGCCTCGCACTATCGCGCCTTCAATTTTGCATATGCAACACGGGCATCCATCAACCACGAATAATTGTATCTCTGTCCCCTCATTAATGCGGGCACCTTCCCTTGATTCCCCGCATCCAGTAAGCCCAACCCGCGGGAAGCCCCACCTGGCATCTAAGAGGTCCAACCCCAGGGCCTGCCCTGCCCCATCCTACGACCAAAAAGCCCAACCCTCAGGGGCTGTCCCACCTGGCATCCACAGAGCCCGACCCTCGGGAGGGAGGGAGGTGCCTCACCTGACATCCAAGAAGCCCTATCCCCGGGGTATCCCACCTGGCAACCTAGCAGCCCGACCCCGGGCACCGACCACCTGGCAATCAAGTGGCCCAAGCCCAGGGGGTGCCCCACCTGGAATCAAAGAAGCCCAACCCCAAAGGGCTGCCCCACCTGGCAACCAAGTGGCCCAACCCTCGGGGGATGCCCCACCGTTGCCTACGAGAATGGAGAGGCCGTAACTAGTCAGTTTTGTGACATCAAGCTAGTAAATATTTACCGAAATAACAAGCCTTTTCGGGTCATTGGTGCATCGATGAGTGAGGCAGTCGCTGCGTGAACCAATCAGAGTGGCCCTCGATCGGCCGAAGTTGCGTGAAGCGGCCCTCGATCCGCCGAAGTTGCGCGAGCGGTCCGTTTGGATCTGAGTCGAGTAACGATTTTCGGTATTACGCTTATTTCATTTCTTCGATTATTAGGCAATGTCACGCATGGGTTATTTAGTTATCTAAAATGAAATTTCATCCTCTTTCGAGAGGGTTCTTATGAATTTTTGCATCAGATCAACCCCCGAGAAGATATCGGCACGAAGATATCGCCCCCCCCCCCCNTAAATTGTTATTTTATAGAGGAATGTTTGGCAACGCTTGAATGTTCATACGACGTTCTTCTCCCTTAGCACGGGGATATGATGGACCAAAAAAAAAAAAATACTCTCAGGGAAGTTCCCTTTCATTGTTTTGGACACGTGAGGTGCCGTCGTCTCAATAAAACAAAAGGCCCTTGCGCCCTCCTGGCTAATGGTGTTCTAGAAGGAATGTCCCTTCCTCCTTTTGTTCCAAAAAGTTCGGATTTCCCGGCACCGGAAAACAAGGAAATAGTTTCTAAATGACATTATAATTGCAAGAGTGGTCAGCAGGGGGGAGGGGGGAGGTTGGGGGGTTGATTGTGGTGGCTACACACCGAGCATATAAAAGAGCAGCCCCACCCCTAAAGTTCAATCAGTGTGGATTCAGTGAGCGAGGTGGCTCAATGGGTGATCAGGTCTGAGGGTTAGTGGGTCAGTGGTTTAGTGGTGCAGTGGATAAGTGGTGTAGTGGATAAGTGGTGTAGTCGATTAGTGGCACAGTAGTTTCATGGTGCAGTGGTTTAGTAGTGCAGTGCAATTAGCAAGCGGAATCGCAACATGAGTTAAGCTTTTTGTATGTGAGTATAGCAGATAATAGCTTTATCATTTATCATACCTTCTATCTTCATTATATTTAAACTGTATACTTTTCATTTATGAAACTTTTATTTTTCAAATTTTAAAATTTATTTTTTCTATTTTCAATTGGTTCCCACTTTTGAGTCTTAAAATTTTTAATCTTGAATATTTTATTTTGGAAATGTTGAAATTTTTATTTAGTTTTTCAAATTTTTATTTTTCAAATTTTAAAATTTAATTTTTCTATTTTCAATCTCTACTTTTGAATCGTAAAGTTATCGTAAATTATCCTTGATTATTTTGTTTTTAAAGTGTAAATTTTATTAGGTTCATCCTATTATTTTCCTTTCCTATTTCACGGTCGTGCCTATTTCAAAATATTATGAATCAGTAGAGTACTTTTATTCTTCAAAGAAAGAAATTATCAATGAAATCGACAAGGATTTATATTATTTTTCCAATTTTTCTAGACTGAGAGAAATGTTTTTCCCCTCTTCAGGTCATTGTTTTGGGAGGGTATGGATTCGATCGAAAAATGAAAATGTGAATCGATCGACACCGATTCGATCGACAAATTGTTAAAAAAACCGGTGTCGATTCGATCGACATGAATTGATCGAGAAATAAAAATACGTCAATCGATCGACACCGATTCGATCGACAAATTGTTAAAAAACCGGTGTCGATTCGATCGACATGAATCGATCGAAAAATGAAAATGTGAATCGATCGACAGTTAATTTAAAAACACCCGTATCGATTGGATCGACATGAATCGATCGAAAAATGAAAATGTAAATCGATCGACATGAATCGATCGACAGTTAATTTAAAAACACCCGTATCGATTGGATCAACGTGAATCGATCGAAATGAAAACGTGAATCGATCGACAAAATTCGATCGACTCCCGGGTTTGTCGATCGATTCACGGGTTTGCCGATCGATTCATGGGTTTGTCGATCCATTCACGGGTTTGTCGATCCATTCACGGGTTAATCGGTGTCGATCGATTCATGTCGATCGATTCACGTTTTCATTTTTCGATCGATTCATGTCGATCGAATCGATACGGGTGTTTTTAAATTAACTTTCGATCGAATCGGTGTCGATCGATTCATGTCGATCGATTCACGTTTTCATTTTTCGATCGATTCATGTCGATCGAATCCATACCCTCCCAATCAGCCATCCATATATTACTTCCTGCTACATTTTTAAAAAATAAAAAAATTGCGCATGAGTTGTACTGTTAAATGGAAATAAAAAAATACCAAAATGGAAATATGTGCATTAAGACATGAGACCTGAGACTCATAAGAATAAAATGCATAACAGGGCTCACAATACACACAGCTCCGTTTCGCAGAAACACGTCCGATTTACCTTATTCCTTCACCAGCTTTGCTTTCTTAATTTTTCTTTTTTTTTTTCAGATCGGCAAGAAACTAGGTCTGTGAAAGCGCTTCCAGCACTATGTGCAAAGGTTTCAACTTATTTTCTTGAATTGGATTCTTTCCTCCTCTTCAAACGCTTCATACTAACTTCCTAATTGACAAGAGACAGGGTCAGAGTGGAAGCTACTTTCAGTGTATTAATCGTAAGTACGATAAAATTGCTTTGCAGCATTTTTATTTTTCTCTCAAATATCATGCTAATTTTCATCTCCATGTTAATTATATTAGTCTTTCTTTTTGTTTTTTTTCAGATCGGCAAGAAACGAATACAATGAAAATAGTTTCACATTGTTTTATATTGGTTTTTTGTTTTAAATACCTCGCATATTGATTTTGCTCTTTTACCGTGTTCAACTTCATTTCATTTTACTTTTCATTTTACTCTATTTACCTGAACTAACCTACTAGTGTTTATTTTTTTTCAGATCGGCAAAAAACGAGCATAATGAAAGCTGTTTTACTTCATTTTTTACCACTGTCCACCAAGTCCTACCATCAAGGAAAATCTGTGTTTTAAAGGTACCAATATAGTTGGATCACGGTGATGTGCATTGATTTGAATGATGAAGAAACCCGCCTTATTGCTATGTACCTTGCAGTCTCACTTTAATGGTACTCCTTTACAATAGGACGTAAAAATTTCGTAAGTAGTTCCAAAATGTTCAATTATTTGTAATGTTGTAAAAATTAACAGAAATGTTGGTGTAATTCACCAGAAAGCACCCGTACAGTTTTAATTAATCTCTTGAAGAATATACACCGAATAATTGCTCATGAAATCAATAGCTGGAGAAAAAATTAAAAAAGTAGAGGACAGTGTTGCACTATTTTCCGAATGATATTCATGAATTCCAGATTTTTTACTACCAGATGATTACAGTACTTTTAGAAAGTATCAAGTTTGACAAGGACATTCAGAGTGAACAAAACAATTTGACAACAAGCGTTGACTAATCATTCCTTTTTTTTATTCTTACTGTGTTTCAGGTCTACCAAAAATGCTTCTCTACAGTATGGATTCTGAATGCCAACCGCTGCAATCCTTTTCCAGTGATTTGTGGAACCAAAATACTTAAAACCACGGTGTGCATCAATGCGGGTGATGGTGTCACTCATCGTGCTTTCTAAAAGGCTATGTGCCCCTTCATAATGTCGTGCTGAATGAAATCGCCGTATGAACCTTCAGGCGTTGCCAAATTTTCTGTGACAAAACACGAATTTCTCGGTAAATTTATGAATATTTTTCTCTGAATCTTGCAGATTATTTTGTTCGGAATTTCACCAAAAATTCCTGGAAAGTTCGAGGAAATATATTCATATCTTTCCTCAGAAATATACGTTTTATCTGGGGAAATTTGGCAACTCTCGAATGTTCATACGGTATTATTCCTTAGCACGGCAGCATAGGGGATGTGAAATTTTTTTAATTGAACAAATTTCCTTTAACTGTGAATTATCATTAATGGAATAAAATTAACAAGAGATTTTGGCATAACTATTATAAAAATACATTGAAATTCCTGACTGATTGCTCATGGAATCAATAACGAAGAAAAAAGAAAACATGACAAAAATATAGAAAAATTGCATTCAATTTCACATAATTAATTAATATCATAATAGAGAATATTGGAAACTATCGAATTCGACGAGTAAATTTGGCATCAACAATGAAAGCCCGCAAAAGTTTCCATTTTGAAATTAGGTTAAGCTCTAACTAATCATTTCTTTTTTTTATTCTTAGTTTGTTTCAGGTCTGCAAAAAACGAAGAAAATGTTCCGCACTGGGGACGGAAGTAGTGCCCTCCAGAATGTGTATTTGTTATTTAAAATTTAAATAGTATAAACTATCAAAAGTACAATTTAATAGTTGAATTATCAATCCATTTTTAATTTCTTACATTTATAGAATCTATAAAAATAATTATTTTAAAACTATTGTGCAGCACTTGAATTGGATGCCATCTGCGGTTTTTTTAAAATATTTACATTTCCTTTCAGTTCTGCGTATAGTTCTCATGTATTACTATCAAACAATATTGCATCCAATTGAAAGTAAGTAAACTGCATAACGCAAAAAGGAATTATCTTTCCGGTTCACATTAAAAAACACGTATGTTCCACAAATTTTACACACAAATAGGTGATTTTTAAAAGAACCAGAAAAGTTAGTTTTTTTGCGTTTTGCAGTTGAGTTACAACAACTGAATGCAAAATTGCAGTTGAAGCTACAAGGTGTAGTCCAAAGACAGCATGTAACTGCAATTTAAATTAAATTTTGGGAAAATAAGACGTAAATTTCATTAATTGGACGCATTTCTATCAAACGGAACTATGTGCATCATGACGTGAGCCTTGTTATGCACCTATGCTTATGGGTCTCAGGGCTCACGTCTTAATGCACATAGTTCCGCTTGACAGAAATACGTCCAATTATGGCATGTTGCCCTAACAAAAATTTTGACAAGAGAGTACTGGACATATTTATGCTAATAGGAACTAGGTATGTGTCATGCTTCAAACTTCACGAACTTCATGTGAATACCATGTACGTGATTCCTTTTAGGATAAATACGTCTCTAATGAATGATAATGGAACAGTTTCTTAACTCTGCCGTGCTAAGGAAGAACGCCGTATGAGCCTTTAGACGTTGCCAAGTTTCCTTCGATAAAAACCGAATTAACTGGGAGAATTGTGAATATTTTTTCCCAAAGTTTTTAGGCAATTTTGCACGCAATTTAATCTGAAATATCTGAAAATTTCGAAAGAAAATATGCATGAATGTCGTCAAAAATACATGTTCTATTCGGGGAAATTTGGCAACTCTCGAATGTTCATACGGCGTTCTTCCTTAGCACGGCAGAACTATACTGAGGGCCTAATAATTAGAAGTCCAGTAGCCAGTCTTGTCCCCTGTTACAAATCACACTAATAATTCTTGATGTTTTTGTTTGTTCCAGAAGAAGCTGCTGGGCTCGGGGGGAGGGGAGTGGCTCGCTAAGGGAGGAGGTTCCCGGGGAAAGGGGGGTCCGTGGGGTTGGGAAGGATCGCGGTGTAAGGTTTCCCAGGGGGAGGCTCCCGGGGAAAGGGGGGTCCGTGGGGTTCGTTGCGGGGTCGCGGAATAGGGTTTCCCAAGGGGGGTTTTCCCGGGGAGAGGGGGGTCCGTGGGATTCATGTAGGATCGCGGAGAAGGGTTCCTAAGGGGGGAGGGGCCGCGGATTAGGATCACGGGGGGAGGAGTAGGATTTTTTTTTNNTTTTTTTTTTTTTTTTTTTTTTCCTTTTCTTTTCTTTCTTTTCTTTTTTGTATTCTCTGTTTCAGGTGCTGCTGCTGGACGCCATCGTACCGGGATCGTCGAATTTTTTTTCTTTTTTTCTTGTTTCTTTCCTTTCTTTTCTTTTTTGTATTCTCTGTTTCAGGTGCTGCTGCTGGACGCCATCGTACCGGGATCGTCGAATTTTTTTTCTTTTTTTTTTGTTTCTTTCCTTTCTTTTCTTTTTTGTATTCTCTGTTTCAGGTGCTGCTGCTGGACGCCATCGTACCGGGATCGTCGAATTTTTTTTTTTTTTTCTTTCCTTTCTTTTCTTTTTTGTATTCTCTGTTTCAGGTGCTGCTGCTGGACGCTGGTTCCCGCAACCGAAGGTAAGATACCGTTTTATTGATTATTCACGTTAATTAATTGTGAAGGGCACTACTCCCGTCTCTCTTGGGCACAGCTTTTTTTTTGGCAGTGTCAAAAACGACATGCAGCAGTGGATGGAGCTACGGCGGCGTTGGTGAGTGTTTTATTTTGTTTTCTCTTTTCCATCCCTCTCCTTTCTTTCCTTCCCTCTCCTCTTCCCTTCCTCTACCCTCTTCCCCTCCTCTCCCCTCCCCCCGTGGATTAGGGCTCTTGGCGATACCACGTTAAAAAAACGCGCCGAAAGCTCTACCTCCGGGAGCAGTACCTGATCGGACTCTCCTAAGGTGGTGTGGAAAAGAGCTTGTCTGAAGGTATTTCCCCATTTTTCTTCAGCATTGTGGATTATAGCTAATTCTTTAAAGCTACCGTGATTTTTCTCCTCTTTGCAAAGAAAATTCTGCAAAAACTTCAAGTAATCACGTCAATTCGTATCCTTTAAAAAAATAACATAGAGGCGGAGATTCTCAGACATCGCAAACGAGTTATGTGATTGCCGACTTACACCATCGATATACCGTATGTTTCTCGATCCAGGTTATTTCCGGTGAGAACCGGAAATGTCAAATATTTCTCGGAAATATTGAGCATTTCTGGTTACATCAGGTGGTCGCCGGAACAGTCTCTCTTGGGGAGCAAAAGTCATATTATTGCCGCAATCACACGTTGAATGTGGGAGCTGAATGCGGCTTGACTGTGGAAGTTATCGACACGCAAAATTCAGCAACGATTCTCAACGACCATCGGATAATGTCGAATCTTTCTGAACTATTCGAATAGATTTGATACACATCTGGATGAAAATAACTCGAATTTTAGCTATTGAGCTCTGACTGTTGACTTCTATATTCAGCGTGTGATTGCGGCATATGAAATGAATAATTGCCGGAAATTTTCAGCATTCCTGGTTACTTCCGGTGAGAACCGGAAACGCTCATTATTTCCCGAAAGTATTGACTTCAAACTTCAAGTAATCACGTCAATTCGTATCCTTTAAAAAAATAACATAGAGGCGGAGATTCTCAGACATCGCAAACGAGTTATGTGATTGCCGACTTACACCATCGATATACCGTATGTTTCTCGATCCAGGTTATTTCCGGTGAGAACCGGAAATGCCAAATATTTCTCGGAAATATTGAGCATTTCCGGTTTCATTAGGTGATCGCCGAAGCAGTCTCAGAATGCGCGCGTATGCATTTATTTTTTTCCTCAAGGTAAGTACATAAAGTACACTTAGTGCAATTTTCAACTGAAAATTTGTTAACCAAAACTCTAGTTCCAATTTGATCCAAGTGATGATATAGGACCTGGAGGGGGGGGGCAGGGGCTCCTTAGAGAGTAGGAAGCATAAATTAATATCGTCACCTTCCAGGCAAAATATCACAAGCGGCCATGCGACGTTTAAGAATTTCCGCCGCCATTTTATTTTTTTACAGAGAAATTGTTCTACGAAGCTGTCCGAAAATTTCACTGAATTTTCTTTGAGCTGCCGATAAAATTTAGTGAAATTTCCAAACAGATTCAACCGACAATTTCTCAGTAAAGAAATAAAATGGCGGCGGAAATTTTTAAACGTCGCGTGGCGCTTGTGATACTTTGCCTGGAAGGTGACGATATATATTGACGTTAATAGAATGACCGAAAATTTTAAATGAATGAATTATGTCACGATCGTCACGACCGTCACACTTTTTTCAGAGTTATGAAACAGCTGCCAATTTTTAAAGTTCATGATTTTTGAACAACGTATAAGATTTTTTGGAGGTGTAGGTTCAGATATTTGAGAAAAAAACAAATATGTAGATATTTTAACCTTAAGTCAAGAAACATTTTTTGTTTTCCGAGAAAAAAGCTGAAAAGTCTGCAAAAATTAGAAAACATTTGCTATTTACCTAATGATAAACATACACACTGGGTCACTATTTTTCGTTGTTTCACTTCTTCATAGGACCTAACAGAAAATAAAAATAAATAAATAAAACTGCATTTGACCATTTTTATCTTTCCGATGGACCAAAATAATCGATGTGACTGTCGTGACATCCGGGATCTACTTATTTTTAAAACAATTTATCATAAAAAAAAGAAATGCCTGATGAGAAAAGTTACCTGTATAGAATTGTTAAGCCTGATACTATGCTGAACTAAGAAAGGAACTCTCAATCCAAAATATAGTTGAATTTTTAGTTTTTGGGAGCAGGTCAAATTGGACAGTTTTCGTAGAATTACCCAAAAACGTAGTCACGGCCTCTCCATTCTCGTAGGCAACGGTATGACATCAACCTCCCACTAAGCTAATTTTTGCCACTTGTGGCTGGACTTACCGTGAGAAGAGCCGCTCATTTGCTTCCGTATTTACTGTCAATGCTAAATTGAAAACAATTCGCAGAAAATTACCTAAAATTTTGTATCACTGATTTTACAATGCGCGGCGCCGAGTGACGGTATTGCGGCAACACTGTGATCATGTGATGATGACTCAATCCTAACCTCAAATATTTGCTTGTTTTGTTTTGGTTTCGGCCAGGTTTCGGCAATCGGGTCGGTTTTTCTAATTTTTTTGGCAAAATATTTTATTTATTGATTTTCCAGTCGCAGGAATTTTTTTCTCCGCGCCACCATAATTCAGCTTCTTCACTCCACCTTTTACTTCTTGCCGAGTGCCAGAACATTAATATCCCAGAGTTAAGACGTTGATTTCAATTTCAAACTCAAAGTTGTATTTGTCAGTAAATGTGTATGAATAACGTCTATTATGTGCTTCATTGCTGTGTTTGATATGATAACATGTGGATAAATAATTAACTTTGAGTTTATGTGACATGCAGGTAACATTGGGATAAACTTACTCAGTTAACTGCACCTACTATCTTGGTCTCCGATCATGGCCTCTTCAACATACGCTCCTGAGAATGAAGAAGATGATGACGACTATGCTGATGAACCAGACTCAGAATTTTTTAATTTTCCTCCTGAAGTCCAAAATGCAATTGAACAGGTAATTGCTCTCTGTCAGTAGTGCCAGAGTCGCAGTAGTGAGAGAGTAGTCATTCCAGTCCTCATAACTGAAGCCGATTATTTTGTATGAATTGAATTCTAATGATAAAACTATAAATGGTCTTTTGTTTCTTTCTCAAACATTTTTGGGCTTCAAATAAAGTTCAAGAATCTGGATAAATAAGGATTCCTGGCACCCTTTAGAGAGTTACTCCGTGAATTTGAACCATGGCTTGAACGTAAAGAGTGTACTTTCCTAGAAGATGCACAAGTTTCGTTCTTGACTCCAACCCTCTAGTTATAGAGATCATAGAGTGTTGCCAAAGGAGCTTATGCACTCTCACAGCGTGGGGAAAGATCCGCCTGTTGACTCTTGCATTTGCTTTCAATGCTGAACTGAAGGCAGATACTTACTCTTCTGTCACACTCTAAGTACTTGAAAAGTTTGGCAGCATGAGGGAGAAATCTGAAAAGGGAGGGTGAGGGTGGGGGGGGGAAGACTGAAGGTCTTTGTGGGAACAGCTTAATCCTATTGAATTTTACTTATGTTTAAATGGCTACATGTGTATTTTTTTTTTTACCTCACTTCCTGACCTATGAATCAATTTTCTAATTTTTAGGTGATTCCTAGCACAGACCCATTGGACAAGCCAGATTTCAATGCCGTGAATTATATCAATTCTTTGTTTCCAACTGAGCAATCTCTATCAAATATTGATGATGTCATTAATAAAATGGAGGACCAGATTCAGTTTATTGATGAGGAGATCAGGGTCGTTGTCAGAGGCCAGACGAATGCAGGACAGGTAATCAATTTATCATTTATATCATTCTTGCATTGCAATTAAAAACCAGCAACTGCCAGCAAAACTAGAAAACATTCCCTTTTTTTTGTGTTCTAAACCTGTACTCACACTTTGTGATCATCAAAAAGTTCTTTAAGATATCTAACTTCTTTAGGAAATTTCCAAGCTGTGAAATGTTTTTAAATCATGGAAAATTGAGTCAATGTAGGTACTCAAAAAGCCCTTGAATTTAATTTCATCTGGTGTGTTTGTTTAAAACTGTTTCAGGGATCAGCCTCTCACTATATTACCTTTTACC